ATAAAATTATACAACACAAATACTTATGTTTAGCCCTAAATTACAAACGAATTAATTTCAGTCATGCATATACAAACATTTTAATTTGCGAAGGACAATGAGCCTATTGTAAATGCAAAAATGCGATGAGAACCATTTTCTTATTCATTTTAAAATAAAAATGATATGACAGTAACAGTGATAAATCGAAATTTATCATGTATTATTGTAAACAAAATGTTATTTATTGCACTTTATTTAATTTCACCCGCAGTTGCATGTTACATAAAAAACATATATATTAAAGGTTTTTAGACTTTGAGAGGTTTAGTAATCTCTAAATTGATCAACTTCAAAATTACGAATTAGATACCAGTAGTCGTTTAGGAAATCACACACGAGGACGCAGCATGATTCGCAGCAAAAATTATAGCTACAAAATAAAGGTATATTTATTATAATTATGAACATCGATCAGTGTTATATAAAGTTTTACGCCACCAAGAAAAATCGTATTTAAACACGTAAGATAACGATATTTTTACGTGTAAAATATAATTTTATAACCTGAAATAAAGCCTATAATGAATAGAAAAAAAGACGGTCGCTTTCCATAATGGTGGTCGCTTAAGTGGAAAAGTGCACAAATTTGCTGAATGATACAAAACTAAATTCCTGCTCGATATTTACTCCATTTAAGAATTTTTTTCAAGTAAAATGCCCATAAAAAGATACACATAAACTATCAAACAGCTATCACGTTTCAGCTGCTTTCGTGTCATCGAGAGGCCGTGAAAATGACTCATTTGAATGCGTTGTAAGAATGACAACGCTGTCATGGGACCACAAATTATGCACACCTATTATATCGCGTGTGGAGTTTCTTTGCTTTGCAAGCCTGTCGTTCAGCTGGTCACGTCGTGAATCGTAAACTTGCTAATAATAATGACCACGGGTTGCGGTAGCTCAGCTTAATATAGCTTAACAAAAAGCTTAAACACAATAGACTGCATGAGTGACAGCGGTAAGTTGAAAATTCGTCATCAGTTTAACTATTTAATCGGGCCATTGGGAGATTGAATTTCATTTACTCTCTCGCTGCTGCATGTTTGAGGAAACAACATATTCTGTAAAGGGCACAGGAGGAATTCAACCGCAATTGAGAAATGAAGAAATTTTATCTAATTCGGATGTTTCTACAATCTTCCATGTTTTTGCAGCTGCAATTAATGTTTCTCACAGCTTCACAATATTTGGCAATTCGTCATGGTGAGCCAAAATAGAACTTAAAATGTCATTCTTTATTACTATAATAGCTATACTAGATTACCTGATGTTAAGATTTTCTAAACTAACTGGAAGTCTATAAGAATGAAGATTGCAATTTTGTCGAAATGTGGAATGATGATATTAATACAGACCGTTTTGAGAGTTTAAAATAAATTTTAAGGGCGCAATTTGACTCATGAGATCACGCATTGCAGCTCGTATTGAGCTTTGCGACAAAAAGCGTAAGATTGCAAGACGTAAGTCCTGCAAATTAAGTTGGGCTGGAAAGGGTGAAGGGTTACTTGCGAAAATTGCGAGATATCCTTTATTAATTTTATACCATGTTGACAGACCGGTTTTAACTAATCTCAGAAAGTAAAATAACTTACGAGTTACGGCTCATTTTGTCCATTTTAAGATTACTGTGTGTAAATAATTACAAAAACGTTTTCTTAGCATTTCAAGCACTCTTCACAATTTAACATCGCTCAATTATAACTGCATTGCATGCAAGTTGCAATTTAGTTAACTGAATTGCATGCAAGTTGCAAATGAAAATTGCATAACGTAACAGCATCTTTAGTAGCTACAACTTGCCTGACTGATTTTTTTGGATGCTATTGTTTTTAAAGCATGTAAACATTTGAGTCAAATTTTTATGGCTGCTATTCGATGTCTAACTCTGAAATTTGTTTATTTGTTGCAGTATCCCAAAAGAAAGTAAATTAAGCTCAATAACACGCAAATAACTATAAAATAAATGAATATAATTGAATTCGAAATAATATCTTCACGCAGAGCGGTAATTTTAGCAGAACTGTACACAGACTTTGGCAGGGCCTAAAGCTTTGTGCAAAATACCGATCATAAAAAAAATTGCAGTTGGCACACGATTGTCAATTTTATCGTGGAAACACAAATCTGCTTGTTTTCGTTTACCTTGTACTAGATTCAGAATTTTCGTGACTAAATTAACTCTTCCATTTGTCTCCGTGCACGCGTACGTATGAATGAATCATGTGTAATAATTACCTGTCCGGCACATGCATTAAAATTTACGATAAATAACAAAAATTAATGTCACTGAAACCCACTGTGCAAAAAAATTGAGTTTGTCCACAGACAAGCTGACAAAGTACAGAAAGATGGGAGTTACAAAGTTTTATTGTCAAGATCAAATATGACGACAGTGTGTGATGTTAACTCCCATGGATTTGCGCGGCACTGAGAAAAGGATTTAGCGGTTTAAAATATGTAAAGACTTGCTCACTCGCTGTAATTTCTTTGTTTTACACCTGCAAACGATACGACCAAATTATATGAAATTTTACCACTCAAATACCTATATTTAGCCTTAAAATACAAACAAATTAATTTCAGTCATGCACAAATATTTCAATTTTTCATTAAGGACAACGAGCCTCAACAACTGATATTATTCTTGTTAATGCGCTCGACAGATGAGAATCGGAACGTTGAAACAACCCTAAAATAAAACACGCGTGGACCCATGCACGAACCATGCACGAACCATTATTATAATCACGCAGTTATACCTGCCAGCTTGAAGGTTTATAGTTCCGTTGTGCAATTTTATCTTTTTACAGATCTTTATCGCTTTAGAAAGTTGCTTCTTTTACAAAAAAATGAATATTAATTTGTGAAACGAAACATTTCAGGACAAAATTAATTCTTCAACTTGTTACTGGAAAACGTAAAGCTATATACCTACGTACTTAATTGTGATTGAATCACATGAGAATCGGAACGTTTAAAAGTAACGTCGAAAAAATGCGACGAGAACACGCCTGCACCCGTGCACGAGCCATTATCTAATTCATTTTAAAATAATTATATGACATTGACAGTGACAGTGATAAATCGAATTTATTATCACGCATTATTATAAACAACTCGTTATTTATTACACATTAATTAATTTCACCCCATGTGTCGGTTACATAAAAAAATGCTTGTCTTTATGAACCTATATTGTTTATTAAACACGAAACGAAATCCATCGCTTTGGAAGCATGAAATTAAAACTGACCTCTTTCAAATTGCGGATGTTTTCCCAATTATTTTCGTTCCAAGTGGCATATTTGATTGTTTTTCAAAATTCAGAAATTTGCCATGGGAAGTCGTAATGATTTTTATATGATTTTAAGTATGACTAAAAGGTAACAATGTTTATGTTATAATAAATACCTAATTTCGTGTTTTGTAATTTTAAAGAATTTAAGCCATATACTTAATTTATAATAATGTTGAACAGAAAAGTTAGAGAGATCAAAGTGGAATAATATTATTATGACGAGTAGGAATGATAAAATAATAATACATTAGAGGTTTTTAGACTTTGTGAGGTTTAGTATTCTCTAAATCGATCAATTTTAAAATTATGAATTAGATACCGGTAGTCGTTTAGGAAACGACAAACGAGGACGCAGTATGATTTGAAGAAAAAGTTATAAAAATTAAAGTATATTTATTTGTATCAAATATGATGCATGATAACAGTTTAGAGTCTGCTATTGAAGTAATGGAAGACACTAAACTGTACTAACTTTATAGCATGCCCTCTCACAAATGTTCTTGAAACGATTTTGGAAGGATTTTTTGAAAATATTTTTGGAAATTTCTTATCGATATATAAGTTGAACCACATCCTTCAATAGAGATGATAAGAAAAGTCCACTCTTTAATTTAGTTTCCGCACATGCGCTTTAGGATCACGTTTGACGACCAACATTATTGATGAATTCACTGAAGAAATGGATCTGTTCTGTGAACTACGATGCGCAGAAAATCGTTTTTGTGTTGCGTTTAATTACAAAAAAAAAGGCGATGAAAAGGAGCTTAACTGTCAGCTAACCAACACAAAACAGCATAAATTTGATGTGCGCCACTTTACCAAGGAAGAGCAAGTGTGGACGTTTCATGAGGCTAAAGTCGATAGGAGTGACTTTGTAAGAACCATTTTAACTTAACTATCGCTTCCAGAAAGAAATTATAAGAGATAGAGATATTCATTTTTCATGCTACTTTTTACCAAAGTAACAACTTTATATATTCATTATGTTTGAGGCCTACTGCCGGGGAGAAGTGAATGAATGTCAAAATGGTGGAACCATGATCTGGCATCCAGAAAAACCTTTTTCATGTCAATGTCCAGAATGTTACGAAGGAGACGTTTGCGAAAACGGTAATACTACCCAGGGCTGAAGGCTATCTGCAGTTATTTTATACTTAATACCACATTTAATGCTCTATTTAATACCACGAAAATTCTTTTCATTTGATGTACCTTAAAATTTCTCAATAAAGGCCATGTTACACAGAGCAATTTTTATTGCAATGCAATTCTACTTTTGAATGATGTAGTTAGTGAAGAGTCCTGAAAATGTAGGTGTAAGAAACGCTATGGACTGTTATAAAACAAGAATTCTCTAGTTGCCAAAATTACATATCTAAAAAGAAGAATTGCATTGCAAGTTTGCAATAAAAATTGCACCGTGTAACAAGGCTTTACGAAAAGGGCATGCACGCGTGAAGATGTTTTTTTTTTATTTTCACATAAATCTAAATTACGAAGTACCACATGAAATTTGAACAGCCTTGCAAATTTGATAAATATTGTAAACTTTTCCTTTAAGTAAATCACTTACAACGCTATATTTTTTATCTATACCATTTTTAAAACCACTAACAGTTAATTTTCTTAAGATTTAGTGCCTAAAAAGGCTCTTGGAATGGAAAGTGGTGATATTAATGATGAACAAATCACAGCATCAAGCGAAGTTGATAACAAGCATCGGGCGGCAAATGGAAGATTAAATTTGAAAAACCGGAATGGAAGAAACGGGGCGTGGTCATCGAAGGGTAAAGATCTTAATCAGTGGCTTCAGGTTGATTTCCGAAGATCTACTCTGGTGACTGAGATCAGCACCCAAGGACGGGACGAGAAAAATCAATTTGTAAAGGATTACACAATCTCTTTCAGCAAAGATGGAATACATTTCCAGAGTTTTCCGCAGGTAGGTATTTTCTTACTATCTTGTTGCAAATATATCATTTTTTTCTTAACCTATATACGACCTGTAAGAGAATGCAGAACTTGCGGGATGTACAACTTATAGCTATGTTATTGAACTTTCGTGGATTCAGAGTACAAAACTACTACCTCAAGAGGTAGTAATAAAAAAATTACAATCGAGACAAAAGTGATCTAAAAGCAGATGCAACATGAACCAATTTCATTGGCTGAGGTACCCTTGGTCAAGCCGGTGACCAAGTTTGCCCTTCAACACTTCTGTATAATTCATAAAATGGCTATAATATAATTATAGCTAATTTTGCAGAAAAAAATATGAATAGAAGAAAATCAACCTATATGAGATTCATCATGGGCATACCGCAGCCAATCTAAAGATTAGCCCCTCTATGCCAATATTTTTGCAATTTCTAACATTATAATATTTACCCAAAACTTACAACTGAGCTTGCAAGAGAAGAAAGTGTGCCTTTCCGGGAGGGCAGTGACAGGGCACAAGTTTAAACGTTTTGCTTATAGGCGTACAAGTTCTAAACCCCGATGGCAGAATAGATTTTCCGAAATACGTTTATTTTACGTTTATTTTCGAATTAAGAACAACTTGCTATTCTTCTTTTGCCGAATATACCAGTCGGAGATATTAACGCTCATTCCTCATTCAAATACAAATAAGCGATTGGGTACAAAAATGCTAATTTGTCTAATACTATTGCCTGTAGCAATATTCTTTATAATTTAGAAAAGCCATTTTCTACCCCTCAACGTAAAGTAATTGCATCAAAGACGCGCATAATTTTTAAATTTAAAATTTAGTTTCTGAGGCAATTTGCGGGATTATTGCAAGATTAATATGCTTTGTTCTTAATATTATTGGCATGATAAAAGTACTGATTGTAATGTCTTCATCCATCAGATGATCCCTGATGAAGACAGGTGTATATTGTACACTTAATGTATGTTCCCGAGGGAAATGGTGAGTTATGTTTTCCCAAGAGTCTCATGAGACTCGAGGGAAAACGAAACTCACTATTTCGCGAGGTAGTGTACATTAAGCGTTTTGTTATAAAGGAACAAAAACATACATGTTACACAACAATTTCATTTAAAAAAACCCCACTTTACTTTGTTATGACAAGAAGCGGACCACCATTTTTCATTTGTTTCCTTGGCGGGAAACATTGTTTTATTTAAAGTCATGTGACTACGAATGAACCAATCACATTTAAAATACACTACACCTATATAACAAAATTAACTACTTAAACTTATCACGACTTGCAAGAGTCTAATTCTTTCTTCATATTATTTTCAAGAAATTCCAAGGTAACAACGACCACTTTTCCGTTGTCCATAACACGGTGATTCCTCATATTTCTGCTCGGTTTATTCGCATTCATCCAACGGCCTGGAAAGGACATATCTCGATGAGAGTCGAATTTTATGGTTGTTCTTTGGTGTAATATTGTATTGGTTTTGTAATCAGCTTGAAAACTTTGGGATTTCGTCATGCGTTTTAAAGAGATTTTGGGGACACAAGAAAATTAAAGTAAATCAAACATAATAAGACATACTGTAATTTTTAGTTGAACCAAAATCTAGTGAGGTACATAGATCACTTCTTTTATCATCAAACATGAACTAAACTTCTTATCTTCAGAATTCTCTATTTTTACAATTTAAACTTTCGTGTAATAACTTATGCATGATTCTAATAGTCCATTTCCAAATTTGCCTCCCGTATTATAATATAGCTTTGACAACTGGAATTACATCATCTGTTGCAGACTTACAACACATCTGTATAACTATAATTATCGGTCTGGAGGTCCCAGAGGAAATGATTTTCTCATATATTCTCGACGCCATCCAATTTCATTTTAACTAATTACCCCTCGTCACATGCTCAGGGCAATTACTTTTTCTCTTGAGCATTTATTTGTGTCTTTTTCATTCAGAAATTATCTGTTTTTCATCTGGTAATGGATCGCCGCTAACGCCGGTCCATTACGGGAAGGCGCCGGTCCATAGCGGAAGAGTAATGCCCCGGTAAAGTAAATTATTTTCAGCCAATGACTGAGCTCCATTTCACCGGAAGTGACACTTGGCGTATGATAAAATGTCATATCAGGCAACTGAAGGTTTTTCACCTTGGATTTCAATGATGTAACTTGATTTTAAAAGTGAGAAATTCCAAAAATTGAGTTAGTCACCTTATGCTTTAAGCCGCAGCTACACGGGCCATTTTCGTCGACGATTATGTCTTTCTAGCCTATGTTATTGTGTGAATTATTTAGGCAGTTGTATAAACTGGGCGAATTAAAGTAACCTACTTTGTTAAATTTACTTAATAGCATACACCAGGAGAAGAAAATGGACGTAAAAAATCGCCCGTGTAGCCGGGACTTTAATGCGTGTCTATTTCCCACATTATTCGTTTTTTTTTGTTTCCTCGTTGATTTCTTTTCATTGATTGATAAGATTGATTATCGAATAAGGATGATAATTATGTGACTACAATATCTTCACTTTAACAACAAGAATCTTTAGGAATTGGTCACTTATCAGTCAACGAACATGAAAATAAAGTTAGCATAATTATAGCGGGATAATTCATTCATGAATCGTGGTTTTCATTGCTATAATCAACGACCAACTTTTATCAGCCCAATATACCAAAAAATTGATAGAATTTTTATTTTCAGATCATATTTTTTAAACAGTGACTGAGAAAGCCCTTGGGATGGAAAATGGTAATATCGCTGATAACCAAATCAGGGCGTCAAAACGAATTTTCTCAGGATCATCGAGCCCTGCATCAAGAACTTAATCAATGGTTGCATGTTGATTTTCTACGACCTACCCTTTTCACTGGAATCAGTACCCAAGGACGCAATATTGAACTTTAGTTTTTTAATAGTTACAATGTTTCTCTTAGCCAAGATGGCCAATGGGAAAACAATCAAGATACTTTCTTCGCTTTCAGTACAATTATCAATATACTAGTACTACTTTAAGTTTTGGGGCGATGAAGTAAGGGAAAGGTAATAATTATGAACTGAACACAGTATTTAACGTTTTAAAACTTGTTCGAAATAAAAAACCTCAAAGTACGTGCAGAAACATACCTAACGCACAATTTGCTGCGGCCAAATTCAAAAATTTAACTCTACCCGATAGATTTTTTTCTTGAACGCGCCATCGCCTGCAGGAGAGAAGATTGTCGGACAGAAAGAATATATGAATGCGCAGCTAGTTATACGTCGCTGGTACAGTAGAGACGTAGAGCAGAGCTTTTAAGTTTAAAATGATTAACTTTTTAATATCCACAGGAATTTCAAGGAAACAGCGACCATGCAGGATACCATTGTCCTTCACAAGGTTATTCCTAATATTCCCCATACTTTGGTTCATTCTAATTCGCGTTCATCCAACAGATTGGGGAGATCACATCTCCATTAGAGTCGAGTTTTTTGGTTGTCAAGAATGAGGTTACAGTTGCACTATAATCAGCTATTGATGTAAACAATTGAGGCATTCTTCAGTGCATGTCATCATGCAGCAATCAGTAAATTACCTAATGAAACGTTTGACTCTAAACACATGCAGCGAAGTGAAAAAATCATATATAAACTTGAAAATTTATTAGAAGGCAATAATAATTATAGCAAACTGACAGAAGAAAATTATGTAATTATGAAGGCCTAAAAATTATCTAAATAATAAGCAATCGCGCGGCTCTCTTGCACTTGCATTTACAAACATCCAATTTAAATACGTATTTTGCCGTTATTCTGAAATACTTAAGTTAAAAAGCTGGGTAAACCATACAATCATTATAATCTCATATTGATCTGACATACTGCACGTCAATGCATCAATCTGTAGTTACATTTATTGCTGTAATAACGTGCTAAGAAAATTTCTGAAAACTGAATCCCCTTAGGCTTAGTTTTTTGTATATATATCCTCTCAAATAAAACGTCATTTTTCTTTAACGATTAAAAAAAAACTTATTAGCCAATTAGAAATATCAGAAATATAATTCTCTGTATAAAGGATAACTTGATGTATTTAGAGTTTGAAAAATTATAAATATTCACAAGCATGCAGTTTCACTAAGCATGTACGGAAATTCCTATTTTCTCAGCAGAATCAAAATTTGTTCTATTATGCAAGTGGTCCATTGGCGAAAACATGACATCTGTCTTGGCGAATTTTAACTTTCGTGGAGACTCGGGCATTGAGAATTATGTTGGCAATAAGATATGGACGGTGGAAATGAATTAAACTATTTATACTATACTGTTTGACGGTGGAAATGAATTAAACTATTTATACTATTTGTACTACGTACTTATACTACATACAAATCAGCCAATTTTTCTCCTTTAACTGAAGCTTTCAGGCTTCCGGCTGGATTTCCACTTACAGAGAAAAAGTTCGCTAGCGAAATATTTGCGGCAGAATTTTAATAGCATTAATAAATAAACTAGCTCAATTTGACTGCTATAAGTTCAAAAGAAAATATGCAAATATTTCGTTAGCGAACAAATAATTTCTCTGTAAGTGACTCAGTGGAGATCCATGTATGACCTGCAATATTTAGCTGCAGCAGCTATTATTTCCGCCAGCTGCCTTTATTAACTTGGCCATTAATGCAAATCAAATATCTAAAATAATTAGCAGTAGCTAATCAAAGAAAAGCGTACTTTTGCATGTTTGTTGGAGTACTGATATGCAAACCACACAAATTTACAAAGGATATTTTTTTTAAAACTTTCAATTATATTATCCATTCGGCGTTCTGGCATTTTCGAAAAAAATTTTGGCTGTGTAATATTATATTCTTACGTCTCGTGAATGACTGAACCTGCATCTTATGCATTAATGATGTACTTCCATTGAAAATTAAACAATATTGTATTTTACATCGAAATATTTCAGCTCGGTTAAGCTAAACGCCTTTCGAACAACGGGCTCCCGCTTCATAGTAGGGCCAGTTTATTGCAGAGTATGCATGAACACAGTAATTTGCAATCGTACAAGTTTCCCATGACGAGACTAAAAACTTCTTTTAAAAGACCCTTTGGATAATTTATGGACAAAAGTGCATAAATTATATGCATATAGCTAGTTAGTGCGGTTAACCTGCAAGGAGACGCTGGGTCACCGCTGTGAAGTGTCAACCCAATTCCGAAGTAAATCGATGTTATACAAACATGAAGGTCTTTTGTAGAATCCGGATAATATCATTCCAATCTTCACTATTACTACATTTATTACAGGTTATTACAACTCAACAGTATTCGCAGCACGGTAGGTTATTATGGTGTTTGCAACCTACGAAGTTGTGAGTACAAAGCCATACTTTTTGTGTAAAATTATCTACTGACAACCATTTTAATAACCTAGCTTGCGATCTTAACTTTTCCTAGCTTGTATGTCTCAACAATGGTTACATTACACAGGTATCAATAATGCTAAGATCCTCTTATAGTCACATTGAATGAGAAACCCAGAATTGATTCATTGCCTTATTTTCAAAGACTTTCATAAGAATAAAAATCTCGTCAAACCAGGCGATAAGTTATTCACAACTTTTGTCGCATAAGGAATTTCTTTAGGCCGACACATTATATCACTATATATTTTCGACCACCTTAATACGTAATGAGAAAATAAAAAATAATGAACAGTATACGTTACGTTTTGCCAAATTGCGAGTAGATTTCAAACCCAATGAAAGAACATAATATAATTTATATGTATCCTATTTGGGCAAGCTGACACGCAAGGAAGCGCAAATTAAGTTTTAATGCCGTGGCGTGTAACGGTTATAACTAAAACGGTTATAAATACGAGCGGCGGTTCTGTGTGCGTATATTTACAACGACTGGTGCGTAGAACGAGTACTTTAACGTGCTCTTGAAAATTAGTGAACAAATTAAGTTTAACGCATATTAGGGCATGTGTGTAACAAAGTTATGAATACTAAAAAACCTATAGAGGCTTAACTGTCATTTTATATATTGAAATACTTTTTGATATTGTGAATGTTTATAAATTTACACCATACATAATATTTACACCATGTAATTTATTAAATTTCTAAGCTTTCGGCCTGTGAGCTCGGGCCATCATCAGAGAAAAGTTTGATTACAAACAATATATGTGCGCAAGCACATCAGGCAACAAAGTCGCGCAATTATAAACGGTTAAATAAGAAGAGATAAAGGTTCTACTCTAATAGAAATACTATTACACCTTTCCTCTAACTTCAAAAAGTGTTTTTGAAAGTGTAATTTGAATTTTGATATAAAAAATACACACTATGAATAATAAAACGCTTAGCCGTCAACTGCAATTACAAAATGAAATAACACTTGAGGGGTTTTTTTTGTCTCTGAAGATTTTGTACTGTTTTAATCGTTTGAAACATCGATTTTAAACCATTGCTGCC